GCATTGACGGTGTATACCGTGTGCTTGTTTACCATACTTTGCATTGACGGTGTATACCGTGTGCTTGTTTACCATACTTAGCATTGACGGTGTATACCGTGTGCTTGTTTACCATACTTTGCATTGACGGTGTATAACGTGTGCTTGTTTACCATACTTTGCATTGACGGTGTACTGTGTGTTGTGTCCACAGACAACCTGCTGCAGAAGGAGTTGACAGTAATTGACCGTTTCCATTCCCACCTGGAGGCTCTCTGGTGGATACACAATCTAACGGACCAGGTATGACCCAGAGTAGGCCAAAATTGGTTCTACTGATACAACAGTCATGTGGAATATAGCCAAAAAGGGAAAAGGGATAATGAGATGCATGCAGATGAGGGGAGACTCAGGTACAGCCTACAAACAGGGATTGAATATAATAGCCTAGCACAGGGAATGATGGATAAACACACAGATACAGCCTAGTGCAGGGGATGATGGGATACATACACAGATATAGCCTAGGGCAGGGGATGATGGGATACATACACAGATATAGCCTAGTGCAGGGGAGGATCGATAAACACACAGATACAGCCTAGGGCAGGGGATGATGGGATACATACACAGATATAGCCTAGTGCAGGGGATGATGGATAAACACACAGATACAGCCTAGGGCAGGGGATGATGGGATACATACACAGATATAGCCTAGTGCAGGGGATGATGGGATACATACACAGATATAGCCTAGTGCAGGGGATGATGGGATACATACACAGATACAGCCTAGTGCAGGGGATGATGGGATACATACACAGATACAGCCTAGTGCAGGGGATGATGGGATACATACACAGATACAGCCTAGTGCAGGGGATGATGGGATACATACACAGATACAGCCTAGTGCAGGGGATGATGGGATACATACACAGATACAGCCTAGTGCAGGGGATGATGGGATACATACACAGATACAGCCTAGTGCAGGGGATGATGGGATACATACACAGATACAGCCTAGTGCAGGGGATGATGGGATACATACACAGATACAGCCTAGTGCAGGGGATGATGGGATACATACACAGATACAGCCTAGTGCAGGGGATGATGGGATACATACACAGATACAGCCTAGTGCAGGGGATGATGGGATACATACACAGATACAGCCTAGTGCAGGGGATGATGGGATACATACACAGATACAGCCTAGTGCAGGGGATGATGGGATACATACACAGATACAGCCTAGTGCAGGGGATGATGGGATACATACACAGATACAGCTTAGTGCAGGGGATGATGGGATACATACACAGATACAGCCTAGTGCAGGGGATGATGGGATACATACACAGATACAGCCTAGTGCAGGGGATGATGGGATACATACACAGATACAGCCTAGTGCAGGGGATGATGGGATACATACACAGATACAGCCTAGTGCAGGGGATGATGGGATACATACACAGATACAGCCTAGTGCAGGGGATGATGGGATACATACACAGATACAGCCTAGTGCAGGGGATGATGGGATACATACACAGATACAGCCTAGTGCAGGGGATGATGGGATACATACACAGATATAGCCTAGGGCAGGGGATGATGGGATACATACACAGATATAGCCTAGTGCAGGGGATGATGGATAAACACACAGATATAGCCTAGGGCAGGGGATGATGGGATACATACACAGATATAGACTAGTGCAGGGGATGATAGGATACATACACAGATATAGCCTAGGGCAGGGGATGATGGGATACATACACAGATATAGCCTAGTGCAGGGGATGATAGGAGGATGATGGGATACATACACAGATATAGCCTAGGGCAGGGGATGATTGGATACACACCAAGACGTGGAGCGGGGGGTAAGTTATAATATAGGATGGAGAATGATGGGTAACATAGGACAGAGAATGATGGGATATATATATACAAGGAGGGGAGACTACCAGGTTTAGCCTGAGCTAGAAATTATTGGATATATACACAGTAAATAGTGGTTACACCAAAGAAATCTCTTTCATTACACGAGATAAAGTGACTGTGTTACTTGTGTCTTCCAGTTGACATTCAGTTACTCGGACAACAACATTGTACACATTGATGGGTTTTCCAAGGACCAGGATCCCACCAGGTAAGTTACTGTCGAGTAAAGAGAGGTACAATTGTATTTGTTTTATCAAGTCTTTATATAAGTAAGGGCCCGCATCAAGTTGTTACATAGAAACAGGTGAGATACCCACCCTGTAACCTGGGCCTGTTGTTTATAGAAACAGGTGAGATACCCACCCTGTAACCTGGGCCTATTGTTTATTTTTGAATTACTTTATGGCAATTTTTATCATAGAGTGTGCAAGCTTTTATGTTGGAAACAAGCATCAAAAGTTTGTACATGTGTCTTTGTTGATCAGTTTTAGATTTATCAGCTGTATTGAGACATGAGTAATGGGAGGTAACTCTCATGGAATATTTTGCTCACTTACACCATTGGATTGTGTGTTACAGGTTGTACTCCCTCCATTGCATGCTGTTCCCAGCCTCAGATATATGTGATACTCTCAGGAAAGGACTCCCCATAGCATAGGATACACCCTACACAATAGGAAAGGCCAGGGTGCATAATCCAGCAGGACATCCTACCCAGCTGTAATAGGACTGACCTGGTATCATTTCTACAGGACATCCTACACAGCTTGAATAGTACAGGTTCAGTACTATTTCTACAGGACATCCTACCCAGCTGTAATAGGACTGACCTGGTATCATTTCTACAGGACATCCTACCCAGCTGTAATAGGACTGACCTGGTATCATTTCTACAGGACATCCTACCCAGCTGTAATAGGACTGACCTGGTATCATTTCTACAGGACATCCTACCCAGCTGTAATAGGACTGACCTGGTATCATTTCTACAGGACATCCTACCCAGCTGTAATAGGACTGACCTGGTATCATTTCTACAGGACATCCTACCCAGCTGTAATAGGACTGACCTGGTATCATTTCTACAGGACATCCTACCCAGCTGTAATAGGACTGACCTGGTATCATTTCTACAGGACATCCTACCCAGCTGTAATAGGACTGACCTGGTATCATTTCTACAGGACATCCTACCCAGCTGTAATAGGACTGACCTGGTATCATTTCTACAGGACATCCTACACAGCTGGAATAGTACAGGTTCAGTACTATTTCTACAGGATATCCTACACAGCTAGAATAGGACAGGTCCAGTACCAGGACATCCTGGGAAAGGCTGGGGTGTAAATGGCAGTGAGAAAAAAGCTTTATGTGATACTAGAACAATTTGACTCATGTACATACTATTGTAATCATTTTTATTTTGTCTTCCTTTTATTTTGTAAGATGTGAATTAATTAAAGTCGTATTGAATATTGCAGATGTGAATATTTCTCATCCAAATTGAGACATTTAGATTCCTACAATACAAGTAATACCTTTCTGATTTGTTCATCAAAGATGTGTTCTGTTTCCTGCTAATGAAGGCTGGTAGTTTAGACTCTCAGGATGATTTTTATTGTGCCTGTGTTCAATGTTGCTGTACAACTGTGTACCTAATAACTTCCACCCTTTCTGTATACAACATTTTACATGATAGCATTGAGTTATAATATCACACTCTTCACCCTCTATTTTACAGTGTTATATCTACCATTTCAATCAAGTCCTGAAAAGAAGCAAGTAATTCTATGTAAAATTAACGAATGAAAAAATAAGCAATTCTGAAAACGTGAGCATTTGACTCATGACCGGCAGATATATGAAACACTACAGAAGAGTAACCAATGATATACATCTATTTTTTATGAAACTGTTAACATTTCTTCTGAACCATGTTGGATAAGCACAAGGAGTGTGTTGATCCTGCTATTTTGATATTCCATGTAACATTTGATAACCTGTTTTTATATATTGTTTACCATGACTAGCAATGATGACCTACTGATGCCACAGTTGTAGGATCACTGTCATTGTTTGGCTTTGTTCTGTTTTCAATAACTCCAGATGTGATTGGGACCACTTTATTACAGTATTTTGTAAATTTTTACGGGCCGGGTATTTCATTCATGCGTTTAGTTAATGTCCTCAACAATGGGAAAAGCCTGCTATGAAGCCAAAAACCTATCCCTGTCTCTTCATTTTGCATTTATATATTTGACGTAAGAATACATGTTGTGCATATCACTGACAATTTGATCTCTTCCTTTGGAAGTACATGTAAGCTAAAGATAAGTATGGTTTGTACTCTGCACTATTGTTTTTCAACCTTTCATATTTTAACTATTTCTTCTGTGTTCTTTCATTAAGAAATCCACTTATTCTTTATCTAGTTTGCTCAATTTAGGTTAATTAATTAAAACATTGTTTTTGTTTTATTGATGTTCTAATAACCAAAAAGCATATATTCCACTGTGAGTAATATAGAATTATTCAGTCATTTTCTTGAAGCCAATGTGTTCTGAAATGTGATTCACTGGGTTCTTAATGTGATTCACTGGGTTCTTAAATGTGATTCACTGGGTTCTTAAGTGTGATTCACTGGGTTCTGAAATGTGATTCACTGGGTTTTTAAATATGACTCACTCGGTTTTTAAATGTGATTCACTGGGTTCTTAAATATGATTCACTGGGGTCTGAGATGTGATTCACTGGGTTCTGAGATGTGATTCACTGGGTTTTTAGGTCACTTGAGCTTTAGTGACCTATTGCTATCCGTTTTCGTCCGTCATCGTCTGTCGTCCGTCGTCCGTCATCCGTCGTCCGTCGTCCGTCGTCCGTTAACATTTTACATTTCAAACTTAAGGTCAAGTTCTGCTGGGCCGATTGAACTGAAAGTTGGTAGGAATGATCGACTCATGGTCCTGACAAAGTGAAGTTATTTTTCAGGTCAATCAGAAATCCAATATGGCCACTATGGCCGCCATTTTGAAAAACTATTTCAAACTTAAAGTCAAGTTCTGCTAGGCCGATGGAACTGAAACTTTGTAGGAATAATTGACTCATGGTCCTAACAAAGTGTTGTTATTTTTCGGGTCGATCAGAAATCCAATATGGCCACCACAGCCGCCATTTTGAAAAACTATTTCAAACTTAAAGTAAAGTTCTACTTGGCCGATTGAACTG